TGTCTGTCGGTCGGTCGGTCGGTCGGTCGGTCGGTCGGTCTGTCAGTGCAATGCATAGACATGAGCTCAAGATGCATAAATTATAACAAGCAGGACTTGAGGCATATTAAAGAATCACGGCAAGTAACCGAGAAAGGCCTCTCTGAACAGAAGGGTTTTCAGGTGCCTTTCAAATGTCGGGAGGGAGGGAGGGAGGGAGCCCGGCTCAGCTGCACCAGAAGTTGGTTCCAGATGGTTGATGCCACTGCAAAGAAGGCCCTAAGCCTGTAGATCATGTTATGTTCCCTCCCTTGCAAGGACATCTTGCTGAAAGAAATGGTGCTTACGTCAGACACAAGGGGGGCTGAGTGGGTTTTGTATCCTCCCAGTAAGATCCGTGTCACCCTTGTCATTTCCATAGCTTGAGCACAGGAGGCCAGAATGCAGTTTGTGGATGTGAATCCTGGTAAATCTGCATCATCCCCAGGAACTTTCGGAACCAAGAGGAACGAAAGGGGACAAAACACTAGGGTACAAATACTCGTTATGGAACAGCTGGAACGTGTGAACGACAGGACTTTTTCCAAAGATGGGAACGCTGTTGTATGGGAAGGGGTTGAGCAATTCACCTGTATTGCATGTGCCTTCCTTACATTTCGTCACCCCAAGATGCTGCTTTTTCAGGGAAAAACTGGGCTCCTATGACAATGTCAACATTATCGATCCGGAGGATGCGGCGGCGCTCTTCAAAGCTGAAGGATTGTACCCGGAGAGATTCATGGTTCCTCCTTGGAAGGCCTATCGCGACTTTCGCAGCAAGCCTTACGGAGTGCTTCTGAAGTAAGAACCTGCAAATGTGGCAGGGGTAGGCCAGGAAGTTTCCAGTGCAGGAGTAGGAGCAACTGGGAGGAAAATCAATGGCTAATTAATATCCAGAAACACCTAGCCTAGCCATGTGTATATGGCAGACTAAAATGGTTAAGTCAGGCAAAGTTTATTCATTGTGGTTGTGATGATAAGCTGCTACCCTGGTTTTTCATACAGTGGTGCCTCGCATAGCGATCGCTCAGTTTGTCCGCATGGCCCTTGGTTGTCCACATGCGTGCATTGAAGATGGAAGCTAGGATCTAGCTGACAGCCATCCTTCAGAGAAATATAGTTTTGAAAAGCTACTTTTATTGGGCCACAGTTCCAAGCATCCCTCAGTGCCCAGGCATTCTGGGAGTTGTAGTCTCTTGAGGTAACACTTCTAAGCTCCAGATCCAAGCAGGACCAAAGCCAACAAATACTGCTGTGATTCCTTTTATTCACTTAGCTTCTGAACGTCTGAATGGCTTGTGCGTTGAGCATATTCCCTTTTGTACAGATATGGAAGGCCTGGAATAGAAGTCAAGGAAGATTGTCTAGTTTTTTTCAAGGAAAGTCGAAAAGAACACCAACGTGCCTCCTTTTAATCTGCTAGGAGCGGAGAGGCTTGGCGTCAGGACCGCCTGGTTCTGAACAAGGAGGCCCTGTCCCTAAAAGTGCTTGACAACTTTGTGCCTCTTCTGAACGAGGTGGGAGAAGACTTCATCAAGAGAGTGCAAATGCAAATCGAACGGAGCCCGCAGGGGAAGTGGACGGCTGACTTCACCAACGAGCTCTTCCGTTTTGCCCTGGAGTGTGAGTTAGAAGGGAGATCTGGGAAGAGTTCCTTTTTTTGTCCCGAAACTCCCAGAATTGGCCTGGTTGCAGTGGTCAGTGTGGGATCCTGACGGCAGAAGAGGTGGAAGATACTGGGAAGTGGCAGCAGAGTGTTGGCAAAGGGAGAGAGTGAGAGTTTCAGTCATTGTGGGCATGGAAAAGTTACTACAAATCCCAGCATCTCCCAGCCTCTATGGCAAAGAAGCAGTGATGCAATATTTAGCAATATATGGCCACTCTCCAGCACATGTTTCCTTGGGTACATGGAGCATCACTCTCTGTGTTGACATCTGCTCTTTTTCATTAATTTTAAAAAGTTAACTGTGAAGCAGACATTGGTGGGGAGGTGTCATTGTGTTTGCCAAGCCCAGGGACCTTCTCCCGTGACCTCCCTGCAGTTGGGATTCCCAGTTACCCGGAATGCTCAGAAAGTTTATGTTGTGGCTACAACTCAGGAATCTCCAGCCAGCATCGCTGGTGAAACCAGGCAATAAGACCCCCCTTTAGAAATGAACATTCTTCAGAGTGGAAGTGCTTAGATTTTCAATCTTTTGCTTCTTAGTCAAGGGGAGGAAGAGACACATCTGACGATTTTCTTCTCCTGTCTCACAGCTGTATGCAGTGTCTTGTACGGCACACGCTTGGGACTCCTGCAGGACTTTACCGATCCTACGAACCAGGAGTTCATTGATGCTGTTTCCTTGATGTTCCATACTACCTCGCCAATGCTGTACATCCCACCAAAATTCCTGCGTTGGATTAACTCCAAGATTTGGCTGAACCACGTGAAGGCCTGGGACATCATCTTCACCCAAGGTGAGTTTCCTCGTTGCCTTTATCCCAGGGCAAAAAGCATCCTATGCAGCTTCGATTGAGGCCGAGGCAAAGAAATCTGGAGAAAAACGTTTGGAAAAGTTACTTTTTTGGACTTTACCTCTTAAGATCTCCCAACCACCATGAGCACTAGGCATGCTCATTGAGAGATTCAGGGAGAAGTCCAAAAATTTCGACTTTTCTAGGCCCTGCTGGAGACTCAGTAATTCATGACAATATAAATGTGCTCCTTGGCCAAATGTAAAGGTGGCAGGTGCTCTCAGACCACCAGGTTGTTTTCAGTGTCAAGACCAAATGTTGGAATATGTAAACACAGGAAGATACCCTATTGACTAAGACCATGGATACTAGCCTTAGACTACCTCTTCCTCAAAATCCCATACCTAAAGGCTTTAGTGATGTTGTTATCAAAAGCATAAACAGATTATTCATCTTCCTCAAACTGCAGAATGATTTAGGGAATGGAATTGGAGGTGGGTCCATGACAGCACTGGGATTAGCCAATCAGTGCAGTTCACTTGTGGCTTCTGACTGAAGCAGTTTCCCTTGGAGTTGACCAAAGAGAATGTTGCTTGTGTGGTGAGAATGTAGCAAGAGTATTTCCATGGTGGCTCCACTGTTGCGACTACACAATTTGGCATACAGCCACATTTTCCCCCTTTCTGTCTTACCAGCTGACAGGTGTATACAGAATATTTACCGAGACCTCCGTTTGAGCCGGAAAAATGCCAAAGAATACAAAGGCATTTTGTCCAGCCTTTTAATGCAGGATAAACTGCCTGTTGAAGACATCAAGGCCAGCATCACGGAGATGATGGCGGGAGGAGTGGACACGGTAAGACGGAGAGGTGTCTGGTTCTTGCCATGGAAATGGTTTGCCAATGTGCTTGGCCAATATGGTCTGCGTTTTCATACTGGATAATCCGTCTTAGGGCCACACCTCCTGGAGCAGAGCCAAAGTGAGAGACATGTGATGAAATTAGTTAATTAGCAAGTAAAGAGAAAATGTGGTGGTTCCTTCTCCACACATGTAACAGCAACACAAGCAACAGTTTGTGCTTTGTGTTCTGCTTATGGCTTGTCAAAGACACATTTTTTGATGGCTGTGTGAACAGAGGAGAGGCCTTAACGGGACGCCTTTCACCGACTGCTCTTCCTGGTGTCCCCTCAGACTTCAATGACTCTCCAGTGGGCCATGTACGAACTCGCCAAAGCTCCCGCCATCCAGGAGCGGCTGCGGTCAGAAATCTTGGCCGCCAAAGCAGCTTCCCAGGGCGATATTCTGAACGTACTAAAAGCTGCCCCGTTGGTCAAAGCTACCATCAAAGAAGTCCTCAGGTACGTCACTTCCTTTCAACAGTGGAACCATTCATTTTTTTTCTTTATGACCTAACATAATACAGATTCTGCAAAGATCAAATGACTATTTTGAAATCAAATGATAATCTAGCAAAAAATTAAAATGAAACAAAATAAATAACAACATTCAAAATAGGATTGCACAAGGCTGAAAGTAAAAGCAAAATAGGCTGCTTAGATACTACCCTGTAGTACTTAAAGCAGCATCTGGGTGGTTTTCAATTTAATCATGAGCAGAGTCTTCACTGCAGTATTGCAATTAGCCACTGCACCATAAGGCTCAAATCATCAGCAGAATCAGTTAATATACATTAATACCTCTTCTTCCTTCCTTCACTTTCCCTAAGGCTCCATCCGGTTGCAGTCACAATACAAAGATACGTAACCCAAGAGCTTATCCTTCAGAATTATTTGATCCCTGCCAAGGTGAGTGATCAGCATGGAATGGTGTTGCAATTGATATATTTATGCCCCTCATTACCTTGGTCCTCACAAATGTCCTGCAAGGTAGGGCTGAGAAATAACAATTGGTCTAACATTATTCTTGAAAACCAGGGTGGAGGTGGATAGTCTCACAGCATCCAAACTCAGGTTGGGGCTTGGACAGAGAGAAAGACACAGACAAGTAGGAATAGTTCTGGCTTTATGCATAAAATATGGAGGCCATTAATTCATGGAGTCTCCTTATTATGGAAGTGACTTAGTGGCACATATCAATACCAGCACAGTAAGACCCACTTATCCGTGGGATCAGTATCCACTGATTCACTTATCCATGGTCTGAGAATATTAAGACTATTAAAAGAAAAAAAATTTGACTATGCGGACCTTTGTTGGCAACGTTTGTCTGCTTTTGAAGATGCTGTCGAGGTTTGTCATCGCTTTCCTCCCAAGAAGCAGGCGTCTTTTAATTTCATGGCTGCTATCACCATCTGCCGTGATCATGGAGCCCAAGAAAGTAGAATCTCTCATGGGGGTTCTAGAATTAAATGTGTTGCTTTTTGAAATGGATAACACCTCCGTTGCGTGGATTCGATCTTACGACTGCTTGGTCTTCTGACCATGCAGCAAAGGCTTCTGCGGTTTAGCCCGCAGCGCCACCACGTCCTCCCCTGCAAGGTAGGGATGAGAAATAACAATTGGTCTAACATTATTCTTGAAAACCAGGGTGGAGGTGGATAGTCTCACAGCATCCAAACTCAGGTTGGGGGTTGGACACAGAGAAAGACACAGACAAGTAGGAATATTTCTGGCTTTATGCATAAAATATGGAGGCCATTAATTCATGGAGTCTCCTTATTATGGAAGTGACTTAGTGGCACATATCAATACCAGCACAGTAAGACCCACTTATCCGTGGGATCAGTATCCACTGATTCACTTATCCATGGTCTGAGAATATTAAAACTATTAAAAGAAGCTGAATCAGTCAGTTGGAGTGAGGGCAGTTGTATTCCTGGATCTCACCTGCAAGGCAGTGAAAGCCAATGGTGTTGCTTGGTCTTGGCGTTTCTGATTCCTGCCTGCTCCATTGTTGCTAAAGCCTCAGTTCTCAACGTCTCGCTATTTGGAAAGCCTTCCAATACCTCAACCTTCAGTCTCTCCACGCATAAGCTCAGCTATGATCAGCGTCTTTATGATCCACCATCCCCATCTCTGCCTCCCACATCTGCCCTTCCTGCTGTTGAGCAGTATTGCTCATGAGGACAGTTGCAGTTCATTCCTGTGTTGAATGAGATGGCATGGTTAGGATGATCTGTTCCTCTGCAGTGTTTTTTCTTTTAATTCAGTAGATCTTGAACTTGCACTGCCACTCCTGTTCTCCCCCCAGCCAGCATCCCAAAGACTCTGGAGATGAGTCTAGCATTTGTAGACTGAAAATAACTTTCTCAAGGTCCAGCTGCCTTCCTTGATGCCGAGAGCGTGTCAGTCCCCAGCTATTTAAAGGAAACCACACTGGGGCAAAGCACTTGAGCAAAGCTGGTGAATTTGCATTCATCAACATGGCCCAGTGTGTGTGTGTGTGTGTGTGTAGTGTTTCCCATTATCCATAATTTTCAGTATCTGCGGGAGCTTGGAACCAATCCCCAGTGGATATGGGGGTTCTTGTTGTTGATGTTTAGTCGTAAATAGTGTGTGTGTGTGTGTGTGTGTAGTGTTTCCCATTATCCATAATTTTCAGTATCTGCGGGAGCTTGGAACCAATCCCCAGTGGATATGGGGGTTCTTGTTGTTGATGTTTAGTCGTAAATAGTGTGTGTGTGTGTGTAGTGTTTCCCATTATCCATAATTTTCAGTATCTGCGGGAGCTTGGAACCAATCCCCAGTGGATATGGGGGTTCTTGTTGTTGATGTTTAGTCGTAAATAGTGTGTGTGTGTGTGTAGTGTTTCCCATTATCCATAATTTTCAGTATCTGCGGGAGCTTGGAACCAATCCCCAGTGGATATGGGGGTTCTTGTTGTTGATGTTTAGTCGTAAATAGTGTGTGTGTGTGTGTAGTGTTTCCCATTATCCATAATTTTCAGTATCTGCGGGAGCTTGGAACCAATCCCCAGTGGATATGGGGGTTCTTGTTGTTGTTAAATCTGGAGATCGAAGGTTTAGGGACGTATGACTTAGAAGTGGCACATATATGGTTTCAGTTTGCTTTTTAATGCAGTTGGGAATTTTAAGAACCCATGCACCCAATGGAGTGTTTCCTTGGTAATTGTGCTTCTCCAGATATTGCTATGCAGCTTTTAAATTTTTTAAAAAAACATTACGTATAAATATGCATCGCTGGGGGCAAAGTGCTCACATAGATGTGCATATTACCGTACATAATCTGCAAGGTGCAGTATGTTAATGCAAAATAAAAATGAGCATATTGGGCTAAACGGGATGAAAGAACGGGCATTGCTGCAGCAACACTAGTGGAAATGCATTCAAATGTTCATGTGGAAATCAGTGTCCTGACTTTGCTGTGTGGATTTTTTTAAAAAAAAAATCTCTGCTTTTTTTTCCACTTTACTACCGTCAGTTTGACATTCTCTTCTCTCTTTCAGATGAACTGTTTTTTTGTTCCATTTTTCTTACTGCTTTTATACTAAAAGCCACCTGTTGGGAGAAAGACAGCATAAAAGTGCAAGAAATAGATATCCTGATCTGAGGACATGTCTTTCCACAGAGTCATATAAGAAGTGGTTGGAGCTGGATGTAGTTACATTTGGAGTTAGACCCAGTGCCACCGGAGTCAGTTATATGACTAAATGAGGCCCACTGAGTTGAATCAGTCTCGTCTACTTAGGCTTAAGTTTAAATTTAAGTTAATGTAAATGGAAAAATCAGTGAATAATACAGGGTGGCTCCACTTCCAGAGTGTTTGGGAGTAGCAACTGAGGGAAGCCATGGGCTTGCAAGGCTGAAGCTCCCATACCTTTGGTGTAGCAGGGACTGTGACATCATGTGCCACCCTCTCAGGCTTTCCTGTTGTTTGTGCTGCAAAGAATGGGAAAGCTGTGTTTCTTAGCTGCGATCCTTACAGTAGTTATGTGAGAGATGGCTTTTCCGAACATTGGTATATTGCTACAAACTTTCCCTGTTGCAATGTGAAATGTTTGGGGGTGGTTTGGTCTTGAAATGGAGTTAAGAGTCATTAGCCTTACAAAAGACCTACTCCTCAATTGTTGACATGGAGCGATTAAGTTGCCTGCATTTCAGGGCTTTTATTCTAGAACCTCCTTGACCCGTTCTTCCTTCTTTCTCTTCTTCTTTACAGACCTTAGTCCAAGTTGGCATTTATGCCATGGGCCATGATCCAAGGTATTTCACCAGACCTGAGCAGTTCAGTCCAGAAAGGTGGCTGGGTCATGACTCTAGACACTTCCGACTGCTGGGGTTTGGCTTTGGGCCACGCCAGTGCCTTGGGCGCAGGATTGCTGAGCTGGAGATGCAGCTGTTCTTGATACACGTGAGTCTGACATTGCTTCCTGGGATGGTTCCTTGAAAAGTGGGGACTTTTTGCCATCTTTTCAGGGATCTGCGGAGTTGCTTTTTTGAGCTATAGCACCTTATGGGCGCAGGTAGTAATGTGACTCTAGGAGCTGCAGCCTCAAAGCAAGATTCCAAGGCTATGCTGTCAGATGGTCCATGATTTAGTGGGTTGTGATGTCACATGCTCTGGCCAACTGATGCTGTGCAGAGTGAGGATAGGACCTCCCATGAAGGTGGATTGATGGAGTGGATATATATTGCCCCACTAGTGCAAAAGCACTATTCCCCCAGAATATGATCCTACTATCATCCTGCACTGGAACCACCACCATCCCACCAAATAAAAGACAAGGCACAGGGATAATTACGCTAAAGCAATTTTGCACATGTTGGTGCCCTCCACGTGTCTTCGGCTATAACTCCCATCAGCTGGCTGGATAGCTCAGTGGTTTAGGTCTCTGTCTGCAGAGTTGGGAGTTTGATTCCCCACTGTGTCTCCTGGGAGAAGAGCCAGCCCAGGTGGCCTTAAGCAGCAGCTGCACAGTCCCAGCAGAAGGGAATAGAAACAATTCTGAGTACTCTCTACTTCAAAAACCCTGTAAAGGGTCACCATAAGCCAGAACTGACATGATTATTATTTTATACAACGCCCATCATCCCCACCTGGGAGGGCTGAAGAGAGTTTTCAGGTTGAGGAGGCTTCTGCAGATGATGCCAACACTAGTCCCTAATTAGGGTTGCTAGCCTGTGATGTGACAACGTAAAATCTAAAATCCTAAACCCTTTTTCTCCTTTTTTACCCTCTTCTGTGTCCAGATGCTGGAGAAGTTCAAGATTGAAACTAAGAGGGGAGTGGAAGTTGGCACTACATTTGATCTCATCTTGGTCCCGGACAAGCCGATCCATTTGACTCTACGGCCTCTGGACTCTCGTCCCTAAGCAGGGAAGGTGCACGTGAAGCCTCTTTCAAACCCCTGGAGAAAGAAAGGACAGGAAACGACCGGCCAGCCAAAACCCATTTTTGCTGGTGATGAACTTTTCACCGGGTCCAGAGGGAGCTTGTTTCCGAAATGTACAAAAAAAAAAAGAAACAGCACGTAATGGCATAATTTGTGGAGAGGTCTTCTCAACACTCGGACTGTCCTATGCTCAACCCCCTAATGTGTGATTTAGACAAAGGGGAGGAAAATGTCTGTGACTCAGGTTGTTTTGGAGACTTAGAATCAGGATATGATGCTCGTAGCTTTCAGGCCACAAGAAAGGAGCAAACAGATCAAAAAGAAGGGCCACTGAAAGGGAATGTGCGCCCTGTGAGATGTTATCGGATTGGACCTCCCATCATCCCTAGCTGTTAGTTATGCAGGCTAGGGCAGATGGGACTTGTAGTCCAACAACATCTGGAGGGCCGCAGTTGGATCTAAAGGTTTTGCTTCTTCCATTGTTAGTACTAGGCCTGGGAGGGCAAGGAAACACATGTGCCCTCCCAGATGTTTTTGGACTACAAGTCCCATCAGCCTTGGCTGGCATAGCCAGTTAGGAGAGAGATGTACAAGAATGTCCAGAGGACCATGGTTTCCTATCCTTGTTCCAGTATGTAAGGAGAAGGGGAGCAAAACATCTGCCTACCTTTCATGGGCCATGCACGTTTCAACTTGAGTTTACTCTCGACACAAAGTGTGGACCAAATTTTTAGGGCAAAGGTACCCCATAGGGGGATGGTGATGCTGCTATATATATATATCCCTTTGTTTTTAGCTTATCTCCCTTCGAATGGTCATCCTAGTGCTTATTTCCTGTTAAAGCTAAGGGTTAAGGTGGGGAAAAAGCAGAAACTAAGGAAAGGGTCAAGTCACCATGGCCTGCTAAACCTTTAGGGGACTTGCACACAAAGAAGACATGAGGACAGTAACCCTCTCCCAGTGCTGCTCTTAAACACGATTGAATTATCAGATTGAACTGTACAATATAGTTACTACAGAAACATGAAGCCGCTGTTATATTTTCCTTCCAGAGATGTAATTCCTTCAAAACGTCATGCCAGATTTCGATATGACGTTTGTGTTTACTTCCCGATGACCAATCACAAAGTTAATGCAAGCGAACTTGTGACACAGAAAGTTGTTGAAAACTAATATTAGGATAATCATAAATCTTTGATCTCTTAAGGGAGCTTTGCTTCTAAAGGCATGCCAACTGTATCACATAGCATGAGGCTAACTTTGAAGATAATATAGGGATCATGACTGGTAGCCACTGAAAAACTTGTCCCCTCTGAATTTCTCTGATCCTCTTTGAAAGTTGTGCCCTATGAATAAATACTTCTTTTTACCAGTCCAGAATATTGGTTGTTGTGGGTTTTTCGGGCTCTTTGGCCGTGTTCTGAAGGTTGTTCTGAACGTTTCGCCAGTCTCTGTGGCCGGCATCTTCAGAGGACAGCACTCTGTGCTCTGGTGCAGTTTGCTTGGGAGCTGGTTATTTATGGCTGTGAGATTAGCTTTTGTCTTATTCAGGAGATGGGTGATTAGTGTGTCTTGTTGTGGGTGTCTTGCTGTGATAAGGAGGAGAGATTATCTGTCCCTGTGATTGATGGGTTCTTGGGACGTTCGCCCTGGTCCCTATACCACGTGACCCAGAATCAGTAGAACAGAGGTATGGAGAGGACTGGGGGATCTGGAGAAACATTTCCCTCGTGTGACCAGGACCATTAGTCAGGCAATGAGGAAGAAACAGTACAGATTGCTAGAGTGGACCAGGCAAGATAAAATAAATGAAAAAAGTGTGGAATGGAGGCAAGTGCCCTGGCTGAAGAACGGCAGAGACTGGTTTGAATGCAAGGTAATACCTTTGTACAGACTTGCTGCGTGCAAAGTCAGGATGCCCTGGAGGACGTTTCTAGGGAAAGGACAGAAGGTCCAAAATATCAGGAAAGCCAGATATTCTCTCCCCCAAACCCTGCTTTAAATCTGTTTGCTTGTTGGTAACAAACTTCCAACAGATAGATTTGGGGGGACTGTTCTAGTTTAAGGACAGATTCCCACTGTGGTGTGTAGTGGATAGAGTCATGGAGGGCTCAAATCCCCAAATGGCCATGGAAACCTACTGGGGGAGTGAAACTGATAAATACACCCCTTACCTTGAAAGCCCTATTAGGGTCGCTATGAGTCAGTTCTGATTTGACAGTACAGAACACAACACACACACAGTCTGGCTTTTGGCTGAAGGGATTGAGAAAACATGGTTAGTTTTCTTAAAACATTATCCAGACTAACCCTAGTTTCCTTGTGTTTGGCATCACAATAAACTACATTTAAGTTGACAATAGATCTTGAAGAGGAAGGAAAGGCAAGCAGTTAGGACTTGAGCTCCTTCACTTAAAGCATGGGTTAGTGGCAATGCTTTTTGCACCTCCAGAAGTTCTTAGATCTTGGAACTGCAAAGCTGGAAGGGATCCTATGGATCATCAAGTCCGACTTTTGTCAGGGAGGCGCAGTGAAGGACCAAACTCCCAACCTGTGGCTCTACACGCAGAGACCTAAACTACTGAACTATCCAGCAGTCATTGTTGATGGACTACAGTTCCCATCACTCCCCATTCTTGGCTAGGCTGACTTGGGCAGGTTGGAAGTAGAACCGGACCAAATTTGAGGCCTGCAGGTTCCATAAACCTGGTTGAATTTTACATCTCAATTCAGCAAAGTGGGATGATAGATACACCTCCATCGTGCAGTGGTCTTCAATATGGTCTCACTCCCTGTTTTCACAAACCCAGGATGTGACCACATGGGGAAACAGCTTGCATCTTGGACCACTTGTGACACAGGTCAGTATGAGCTACTTTCTGACAATCAGATGACATACGAAAAATCATTAAGTAGCCTGATCCTGCTTTTTGAGCCAACGGTAGGGCTACTCCTCTTTGGAGCTGAGCTGGAATGAGTCCTGCTTGCATGGAAGGGTTACTTTAAGGGAGATTGCTCTCGGCAAGGTCACCCTTTTCAGTGTGATCAAACATGATCCTACATGGTCATCTGATCACACGCCTAGTCTTCTCTTCCCTCCCAGGCAAATCACCATGAGCTGCATCCCATGGATCTTGAGAAGAATGTCAAGTGAAATGGTGACAACATAGCTTGTTAGGGAAGTCACTTCTCTTGGTGAGCAGGTATATAATGGCATGCAATTACTTACTTACTTATCTGCTTACTCTGCCTGCCTGCCTATCTTCATTTCTATGCTATCTTTCTCCCAATAAGGGACCCAAAACTGGCCAAAACCACAATAAATTATGACAATAAAAGATACAACAGTATTTAAACAGTGTTACATAATATTTATTTTGTAATAAATATTCTCTCCTAATATAGTAGGGAGAATTCCTTCCATCCTGCATTCCTATGGCAGAAGGTGAAGGTTCTGATGCTTCTCGTGAATTCGGAGAAGTCTCCTGAGAATCAAAAAAGAATAAACGTCAGCCAGCTGATGTAAACTTGTCTCCCACCCACCAGCTTTCATCCTCACTCTTGGAAGGCCAGTTTTGAGGATGGCCGCTCCCACATCATGAAAATGGAAGACAGGAACTTCCAAAGTACAGGTCAAAAGAGGGCACTGACTTGCATACAACACACATTGCTAATTTGCAAATAATTGAAAAATGAATTGACGACAAGCAAGTTCTTCCCCATCAGTACTTGAACCTGAAAATGAACTGTTCTTTTTCAGCGTCCCAGTACTGCAGAGGACGTGAACAGGAGAAATGCCTAAGAAAAAAGAGGTGTAAGTCCTAAATGGACATAGTTGGACATAACAGGGGTTAAAAACAGACTTTTAAGAGTGAAGCCCAGGTGGACAAATCTACAGACTAGACGTTCTCCTGCATTCCATTCTTCAAAACACATCTTCCATCCTTTCCATCATTAATATGAAGAAATGTGTGAATGCTGGCGAATTCTCACCAGAAACAGACTTTTTCCCCTGCCCTCTCTAGAAGCCACGGGTAGCCCTTGGCCACCATGGTCTTGCATGGGACAGATTCTCCACCCCATTATTTGTGGGGGGAAAATGGGGGCTCCTAAGCTTCTGAAACTGACATTTGATTTCCCATTTCAGAAAGCCTCGATGCCCTAAAACCTATTGATTCAGAGACGGGCCAGTGAGAAGCCCTGCACTGACCTGTGAGCGGCGTCAGCCCTCCGCTGGACTACTTGTTCTTTCCTGCCATATATATTTTGCTGTTCTTCACATCTTTGTCCCCCTTCTCTTCCTTCTCGTCCTGTGGGCATGCAAGGGGAACATTCATCAGCTAGGCACAGACGACAGGCTTCCGATCTACACATATTTGACTGAGGTTCTCCATTGTACCTTTACTGGACAACAATGCCCATAATCCCCCAGCCAGCATGTGACAAAAAAACTAATTTCTTCAAGTTCTGAGTCTGAAAGTTCAGGCTGAATTAATGTACCTAGGAGGGGAGAGTGTGAGGGCGAGAGGAGAAGGGGATGACAGAGGATGAGATGGTTGGACAGTGTCATCGAAGCTACCAGCATGAAATTGACCCAACCCACTTGTTTTTGTTCTTTCCTCATCTTACTTTTGTGTAGAAGATGACCCTCAATTTTTAGTCTAAAGATTTTAGACAAAACTATAGTCTTATACATGGAAAAATACGGTAATTTCTTCAAGTTCTGAGTCTGAAAGGTCAGGCTGAATTAATGTACCTAGGAGGGGAGGGCGTGAGGGCGAGAGGAGAAGGGGACGACAGAGAACGAGATGGTTGGACAGTGTCATTGAAGCTACCAACATGAATTTGACCCAACTCTGGGAGGCAGTGGAAGACAGGAGGGCCTGGCATGCTCTGGTCCATGGACACAACTTAATGACTAAACAACAACAAAGGAGGGGAGATTCAGAGAGGAAATCTAGTCCTTTTTTTGCATTTTTTGTATGGGAGCAGAAATTTTCAAGGAGGGCTCACTAGAATTCCCTCTTAGCTCTTATCGCTGCCATTTTCCCTCTCCCAGAATGCCCTGCTCCAAAGTTACATTTGGTGCAACCAAAATTTGTTTTACACCCAATGAGACTCAACAGCCATCATTCCTGGCATCATTTACATTCTTCCTCTTATTTGTTTGTTTGTTTAACCCCACTTCTCTCTCCAGAAGGATGCAAGGCAGCTTACATCATTAAAAATACAATACTGTATTTAAAAACCAAAAGCAGTAAGTATGCAAATATTAAAAATTAAATATTATATTGAAACCAGTAAATAAAATCAATAGTAAAAACACATTTAAGAGCATCAGAGCAGAACAATCAGTTCAAAACTCCCTCTCAGCCAGACAGTCACTGAGGAAAAGCCTGCCAGAAGAGAAAGGTATTTTGCCTGCTTGTGGAAGGACAGCCAAGATGGGGACCAGCCTGGCCTCCTGTGGGAGGGAGTTCCAGAGTCTGGGAGCAGCCACAGAGAAGGCCCTCTCCTGTGTCCCCACCAAATGCACCTGTGAAGGTGCCGGGATTGAGAGAAAGGCCTCTCTTGATGATCCTAACACCTGAGCCAGCTTATATGGTCTTGGAGATAGCTTGGGCTCAGGCCACGTAAGGCTTTATAGGTTAAAACTGGCACTTTGAACTGTGCCTGGAAACAGATCAGCAGGCAGTGGAGCTGCTTTAACAGGGGAGTTATAGTAATCCCTGTAACCAGCCCCAGTAAGCAATCTGGCTGCGGCATTTTTGACCTGCCAGTTTCTCTCCTCCCAAGGAGACTGGCCTCTTTTCCCCTCCTCTGCTATTTTCTTCTTCTTCACAACCATCCTGTGAGGTAGGTGAGGGTAAGAGAGGGGAGGCCTGTGGAAATACGTCGGGCTGATACTACCAGGAGGATGAGGGAGGTGGCCATCTCAGGTGGTGGATGCTCAGAGGGTGGTGGGAGAACAGCCGTGGCACCCAACTGACCACTCGCTCACCTGAAGCACCCCAGCTGCCCCCTTACCTTTGGCGTGCATGCAGCAGGTGCAGGGAGAGACAATGGGACAACACAGAAGTAAAGATTCCTCTCCCGGTGTGGTTGGATTCTGTATGAGGAACTTTCTCAAGCTTTCAGGATCTTCTCCTACATCTCAGGGAACATCACAACTTGGGCTAGCTCTATACACACAGAGGTCTCCCTAGAGGCCATATAGAATGTCTGTGTACACTTTACTCAGGTGGACCTGGCCACTTCCTCCTATCCTTGCTACTCACCAGCAAAAAATCCTGTAGTACAGGAGAAGATGGGGAGTGGACAAAACCAAGCTCTTGCTCTAGAAGCCGAGTGCTGTAGCCCTGCTTCTCTCGGCCCCATCTCCTGGCCGATTCCTCCAGCTGTAACAGAGTGAAAACAACACTCCCCATTACAACCAGCCAGTATATCCCAGCTCACCTTTTTTTACAGCTGATTCATACATGCATGCACACAAAGCTTGCAAGTAACAAGATGAAGCATTGGTTCTCTCAGACAAAGCACTTGTTCCACTCCCCCTTGCTGCCACTTGGTGCTGAAGGTACCTGGGGTTCAGCACAATTGGCACCCATCCTTCTTCCTTTAAAAAGCAACACTTCCCTTTAAGAGGGTTGCTTCTCTTCAAGAAATCTTTATGAAATCTACTTCATTGCTGTAGCTTCTCTGCTTTCTTAAAGAGTGCTTTTTGAAAAAATAGTGCTTTTGACCAAAGGAACTCAGCACAGATATGGACTGCCAGTGGGAAGCACTGTACAAACCAATAAAAAACATAAACCATGCTTTCAGGAGGAGCAAAAAGTGGCAGCAAATCACAGAAGCAGCTCAGAATGAAGATGAAAAGGGACTGTAATATGATGGTGGAAAAAAATACTGATAACATCAATACAGAGAACCTGGTACTTTAATAACAATCCTCTATTTGGAATAGCCCTTGGTTAAAAATAGTTAATTGTCCTTAATTCCTTTTTATTTGTTTCAGAATAGCAAGAAAACATTGTGCTATTTTTCAGAATAGTATTTCTAATCATCAAAACCATAGGAACCATAGTAGTAACCAGCTAATCATTAACTACTTTTCAAAAGTAACTTTCCAAGCTATGTCCTGTCGGTATCTCCTGAAGGTTTACACTCTTTAAAACTGATTTACATATATTTGTGCATCTTTTTTTCTTTCTCATTTGATCTATGACTCCATCAAGGGCACAATGGGATATCCAAAGGGTAGCAATGCCTATCACTGCCAGACATGGTTGGATGTTACCATCAAGGGCACAATGGGATATCCAAAGGCAATGCCTATCACTGCCAGACATGGCTGGATGTTGGCAGTTGTTGTCATATCCAGAGGGTGTCAGCTTTGGGGGAGGCAAAAGTAAACAGTGGATGGATTTCTCTTTGACTGAATCCAGTTCAAGTCTAGAAGAACACTGCGGGTTGGATTTCAGCTCTATAGACAGATACCTAAATCACTGAGATGCTCTTAGGAGAAGTCCATGCCAAGAGAGATCAAGGGGGATCAGAGGACCATTATTACCTGGCATTCCAAAGCGTGGATCCGTGCCTCGGCCTTCTCCAGTTTTGAAATTAATGAGAGTTTTTCCGTATTAGCAGAAAACGTATCCTAGAGGGAGCAGAGAGAGGATTTTATAACAGAAGGCATGAGAAGCATCACTGGAGAGATCAGAAAATGTTGTTCTGGGTTGCAAAAGCACCTAGAACACAGGACACATGTAACTCTGAAACTCGCCCCTTTTCACCCGAACAGTTTCTTCAGCTCCCAAATTGGGATCATTTTAGAAGAGGCCTTCAATGGTGGCCAGGTGTCCTCTTTTATTAGGGAAGATATTCTCCAATTTGGAGGACCGCTGGAGCACAGTTTCTGTTGAAGGAAGTGTCCATTTGAAATGCTCTCCACTTTGAGTCTGGTTTAGGAATCAAGTATTAGAAGGAAGAAGATAAGAGACTTTGAAGTTGCCTGTCAACATTTAGCAGAACCTGGACAGCAGACTCAGGAAGCAACACATCCCTTGGCCACAGTCCTCCCCACTCAGGAGAGAGGTACTGTAGTTTCCCTTAAATTATAGAAATTCATTTCCTATCTTGCATCTGTGCATAAAAATCAGCACATTTTATGACAATACTGTAATATCCTTTTCTGGTTGAGGCATGTCCTCCATTTTGGTGAGATGGCATGGGCACCTTATTCCTTCCTTCTCTCTCAGAGAGAAGCGTGGCTTCTCAGAGGACCTCGGCAGTTTTCAAAGTAAGTACATCTGATACCAAGAAGAAAGTACTGAAAGCAGAGCAAAATCCTGCTGCCCCAGTAATCGAGGCCATCGTTTTTAGTCAACCAGTATGGTCCTGACTGATCCAGCCAAACAATATCAACTAAGCTTTACATCCCTAGAAATGGGCATCTGGCCGTCCACAACTCCTTTCAGTTCTAGTGAGATCCTAATTTTGGCATCCCATAATGAACTGCATCCAGATGGTCTGTGTCTCACTCATGCCATACATGTGACAGGAGAGCGGGCCTGATTTTCTCAGTCATCTGGCATGCATACTGTTCCCCAGATGCTCCTCCTCCTCCTCATAGTTCACATGTAAAATATAATCCACATAAGCCCCTTTAATGTGGTTAATATCCCAAGTAATGCCTCGGGATCAGATACATTGGGGAGGTGGGTATGTTTAGGTCCAAGAGCAAAAACTTCAGTTTTATTCACATCTATGCCCATTTACTCTCCTATAAACACGAGTGCAACAGCTTTCAGTCCTGCAAAGCACAGCTCAATTAGATGCATGCCTACTAAAGGGGGAGCCTGGGTGGCACAGTCTTCCAAGCTGCTAAGCACAACAAAGTCCCACTAGCTGCACAGCTCAAGCCCAAGCACAGCTTTCCAGCGGCAAAGCACAGCTGATTTCCATGCAACATCTTAAGTTGCTTCTCACTCCTGTCCCCCTACCCACACTGTGCTTCTCTTGCACAACGGCCAGCTTTCGGATGGAAAAAACTGACATTTGATAAAGTTATGTTCATTACCCTTACATATATATGACACTGTGAGATGCTATTGCACTCATGTTTTTGCTTCTTGACTTCCCAGGAGCCATCTGGCTGGTACTTCTGATATTCTGTTATTATGCTGAGTTCATTGTAAAGAGTCTGAACATATATTCTTACAGTCTGAGAGGGGGGAAATGGGCCCAAGCACCATTTGGGTCCAAGAAAAGCAGATTCTATTTCAATCTGGGTGATTTATCCTAATTTATCCTATTTTAATTGTATTTTAATTGTATTTCAATCATTTTATCTTTTATTGTATTGAATTTTAATTGTTGTAAGCCGCCCAGAGACCTCTGGGTGGCATATAAATTAAATTTAAATAAATGAATGAATGAATGAATGAATGAATGAATGAATGAATGAATGAATGAATGAATAAATAAATAAATAAATAAATAAATACATAAATACATAAATAATAGGGATGTTGTGCAGCGCCATCCCTAAGCTACATGATCTGGCCCCATCTGCACTGGATTTTTATGGGTATAGCCCCTATTCAAATATAACTTCCCCCAGGGCAGGTGTGTCAGTTGTCTCCTCTCCCTTCTTTCCATCATCCCAAAGAACTGGGTAGCAACTTTAATTTCTTTGAAGAGGGTGCTGTACACAAGGTTCCTAAGTTGAAGCATCTTACTGGCAATGCTTGCTGTTGCAGTATGATGGGGGAGCGGTATGAGGAGGACTTGCCCAGTTCATCTCGTAGCCTCATGTTCTCCATCAGCAAGGTGGTGTAGAGATCCTTGGACCAGCTGTCACCAAGGCCTGGGGGCATGTAAGACAGAGGATGCTCAACAAAATGAGGACCTTTATGATTAGCCACAAAAACCCAATCGGCTAACAAAGAAAAAGAAACATGCCATCTTTGGGAGTGGCAAACTATGACTGATATGCAGGTTATGATTAACCCACCCTTGGTCTAATCCACTGGTTCTCAACCTTGGCTTACTCAGGAGTTGTGGACTGCAACTCCCAGAAGCCTTCACCACCAACTGTGCAGGCTGGGGTTTCTGGGAGTTGCAGTTCAAAAACATCCGAGTAACAAAGGTTGGGAACCTAGGGTCTAATCTATATTAGATTAAAATGAACTAGGAACACAGTGTTAGAACCAACATGGTGTGGTGAACAGGGTATTGAACAGGAGACTTGAGTTCAAATCCCTGCTCATTCATGGAAACTCAGTGGAAATTAATAACAGTAAAATCACTCCTTGAATAATTCATCTATCTCAGAAATCCTGCTAGGTTCACCATAAATTGGAATCCACCTGTCAACACTTAAGAACAACAGGAGCATAGGAAACTTATTAATATGCGCTCATTAACAAAGAATCATTGATTGTGCAGATCACCATTTATGTTTTTCAGCTGCAATCTTAGTTTCCTTACAAGTGAATTTGTCAGCAAAATTTTGAACCATATCTGGAGTGAGAGGCGTATCAGCTAATTCAGGGATTGAGAACAGACAGCTTCCAGGGATAATGTTGGGCTGCAACACTCATCATCCTTTGCCACTGACTACATCATCTAGAAGGTTGCATACGCCCTGCCACAGGCTACGCAACATGGTTTGCTCTAGAGAGGATACCATCATGAAATGAGTTCATAAGGAATGGATTTTTTCTTTGACCTCTCAGGGCCTGTGTGCTCCCAGGTACCCATGCAGCCTCCCTGCTTTTTTGTGCTCTATTGTCTGAAACTCCATACTCTGTATTTTGTAGCTCTCTTCTACGCAGTAGCAGGGGACTTGAGTGTCAGCCCTATGAGAAAGGAAGGGAGTGAAATCCACTTACCTGCCCCTCTGGGTATGTCTGGGAACTGGTCTGCATCTTGGAACCGGTCCTTCACCTTCTCTTTCAGCATCCGCTCCATCCTCTCAATGACCTTTCATTAAAAGCAGTGGGTAAGTTCTTCCCTCAGAAGGAAGGAATCATTTCTTGATTTCTCATTGGAAGGGAACCCTGCGGGTCATCGAGTCCAGCTCCTGTCAAGGAGGCCCAGTGGGGAATCGAACCCCCAACCTCTGGCTCCGTAGACAGACGCCTAAACCACTGAGCTATAAAAACCCTTTGGAAGCTATGATCAGGTAGTCCTTTTGATGTGCGAGGCAGGGCCAACCTTCCTTGTTGCCCCTGCCTCAAAAGGGACCTTGCTCAGCTAGATTTCGAGGCACTCCTTAGCATGTGTGGGTATCTGGATGTTTCATTTTTCTACGTAGTACCCACACTGCATCCTTGTCAACCATCTGTGCTACAAACCTAAAGCACCAAGCAATTTCTGTCTTCACCAGGATTCAAGGAACCTAAGTTCATTAGTGTTCTGGATGATCCAAAGCTGCCAATTAGCACATTGAGGCGCATCAGTTGGCTAAGCTGTTTGCCTCATCCTTACCAATGTTTTTGGAATTGACAGCTCATGACTCACGCTCTCTACTGCTGGATGACAATGAATGCACAACATGTTATGATGTTATGGTGCACAATGTGTTAATCTGCTCTCTCTTACCTTTTCCTGCTGCCTCACGGCATCCTCCAGTGCTTGCATCCTGGCTACCTTAGCCTGGTATTTCCTTAGCAACACCTGCTGCTGTTGGTGAGCTCGCTTTAGCATCACCAAATCCTTTTCCCGGTCATTTTTCTGGTAGAAAAAGAACCAAAGGGCAGTGAGGGGGGAAGGGGACCATAGCTCTATGTGCAGGAGGAGCCGATTTCCTTGATGAGGATCTTGGACAGGCGGAGAGGTGGTGGGAACCCCTCTGCAGTCCGAACATGGGATACAGAACAAGGTCCACAGGGGAAAATAATAATTGCACCAGAATGAGAATTTATGTCACCTTCCCCAGAAAGACCTGCGTGCAGTTTAACTGGAAGCCTACCAATGAATCTTTCATACAAAATCCACATGTGGAAAATAATAATTGCACCAGAATGAGAATGTATGTGATATCACCTTCCCTAGAAAGACCTGCGTGCAGTTTTACTGGAAGCCTACCAATGAATCTTTGGTACAAAATCCACATGGATTGCTGACTCTTAAGGTGGCATTTTTACATCATGCATTTCCATGGATGAAATCTGGAAGGCCTCCAGAGGGACTTTGGTCTGCTGGCCCCATAGCACCTCTTCTCAATGGGAGAGGATTCTTATGCATGGGGCATTTCCAGCGGTGCTAGTCAAGAGTTACTGAAAACATGAGATGCAGGTGACGGGAGCTTGGCTGTCTTGCATGCTCTACCAGGTGTTACTGCCAGATGTTGGGTGTAATATGATGAAACTGGTGCAAGGAATCTGTTTTTCAGAGAATGGGAGAATATGAAAAGCCTGGCCATAAACTGATCACCAGTAGTGGGTTTACTCTCACTCTGCAAGGGAGAGAACAAAGTACTAATGCAAAAACAATGATAGTCCCTTCTGCATCTGGCAGTGCGATTGGAGAGAACGGCAGCTTGAAAAGCTGGGCCCTCCCACAAGTTTATTTGAAATGAAAAAGTAGGCTTTGGCATTAGCACAGATGCATAGGTTAACTTAAAAGATGAGGCAATAAGCAATAATCAAAACAACACTTTAAAAAAAAGTATTTGCCATGCATTTATCCAAGCCATAACGTTATGGGTTGTTGTGGAAACGACTTATTGGAATTAGATTTATATTTACATTTAACAGAACATGTAATAATGGCATTCTGGATTAGCTCTTCTGAATCACAGTAAATGTTTGTTCACTTAATTTATTATTATATAATTTAAATAGATGCTTTTAAAAGATTCCTCTAGAGCAGAAGTCCCCAACCCCGGTCCACGGCCCAGTGCCAGTCCGTGGCCTGAGCTGGACCGGGCCACCGAGACAGACCTCCCACCCCACCCCCTGCACACATCCACCCCTGCACAGCCAGTTTGCGCCTGTGCGTGTGCTCCAGCACTTGCGTGCGAGAGCTGCGCTGCCATTTGCGCATGTGCATGAGTGCATGCCCAGACAAGCGCCACACTGCCATTTGTGCATGTGCATAGGTGCACATGTGCCCGTGCAAGAGATAGAGAGAGCGCTTATTCACGCATGCGCACTAGCACAGGAGTGTCCCACCTTCCCCAGCCGGTCCGCAGACCGAAAAAGGTTGGGGACCGCTGCTCTAGAGTATAGATGTTCTAAGAAGCATGTGTAGGCTTGGTGGGGGGCAATTGATACTCCCATCAAAGTATCATCACTGCAGATGGGAAAAATGATTAAAGATAGTTCATAACCTCACTACGTTGGGTATGGTAGTGCCAGATGCAGGATCTCTTCCGAAATGTAGGAAGCGGCAAGCACTATTGCTTACTTACCCGAATTAGCTCATTCTGCAGCCTTTGCACCCGGTCCTTCATCCTGGCCATCTCCTGAGCTCCAGCAGCTAGTTTTTGTTTGAGGGCCACTGAAAGGTACAACAAGCAAGATGACCTTTCAATTAGGTAAATGATGTGCCTCCAAAACAACAGAGAGGTCAAAATATACAATACTAATTTTATGTCAAAGAGACATTTTTTTGAGCTGAAACTCCCATAAACCCCCAGACAATGTTGGCCAGGAAATGTTGGGCTCTAAAGTCCCAAAAAAAACCCCAATCTTCCCAAGCTTTACGCAGTTCTCAGTGTTCCAGAATGGCTTTAAAATTATGAATAGATAAGACTGCTTTACGTTTGTGAGACTTTTGGCTTGAGATGAGACTTTGGATCGAGTGGCCACGATCCAGAGTCTCAGTATTCCCATCTTCTGCTATCTGAGCTCCATGTAAACTGGGGAGAGGAAGCTCTAGACATTCTGGGGCTGTAAATCACTGGTCATGTTGGGTGGGGATGATGATGGCAGCTGAAATCTAACAACACCAGGACCGCTACATGTTCCCCACCACTGTTTTAAACAGTGGTTGATAAGCAGCCAACACAGTTGTTGAAACCCAGTTCTCCTCAAACACAGAAAAACAAAAGTGTGGGTGTGTGCATGTGAATTTCAACATGGAGTGATCATCACCATCATCATAGAACCGCAGAGCTACTATGGGTCATCAAGTTCAGCCCCTGCCAAAGAGGCACCGTTGGGCATTGACGGGGATGTTGGCGACAAGTCCAACTTGAAAGCAAGTCCGATTGCTTGAGTCTAGCCCCTGCCAAAGAGGCACCGTTGGGCATCGACGGGGATGTTGGCAAATCTTTGGTTCTGGGGCCGGGTCTAAGTCCAAGTCCCTATTAAAAACAAGTTCTTTCCCCCAGAAAAAAAAGAGAGAGGTGGGTAGATTCTGAGTCGCTATTTGAGTCTGAGTCGCTGGAAAAAAGAGCCTGAGTCAAGTCTGAATCAAGTCAATGGTGCGACAAGTCCAACTTGACAGCGAGTCCCATTGCTTGCGTTTCTGGGAACTGAACTCCCAACCTTTGGCTCCATAGCCAGATACCTGAACCACTGAGCCGTCCAGCAGTTAGAATGTCAGATTAGAAGTCAAAGTACTGACATCGTGTCATTAAGTGAAAAGCTCTCTCGGAAAGAAAAAGACATCTGTCTGTCCTAGAATGAGCTTTCATCAGTTCTATATTTTGCAAAATCAAGTTGCTCTTGCTCTTGTTCTGGGACTGAGTATTTGTAGATAAACAAGGAACTCATTGGCGAATATGATTGTTCAGGCATGGGGCTTTGAAAGAATTACATTCTTGGAGGGAAAATGTTACACAGACCCAATAAATGAAGCCATAACTTTTAGTCTACAACACTTGGAGGTCATTAATTCAGAGGGATGCACTTAATCAGAAGCAATTTTGATGTCATGCAACAATAATCATAAGGGAAATATGATATCTAAACTTCTAATAACAAAACTTAATGTTCAGTCTAGTTTGACCCTGGGATTGGCAGGATCTGAATTCAAATCTCCATAATGTTGACCTTGGACAACTTTTATCCCTGTACCTCTTTTCTGTGTCCATTACCTGGAGCTTCCAGAAAGCCACATTTCAAGTAAAATCTCTTGATTTTAGGAGATGAGGAAAGTTTTCTGACGCCTCATCCTATCTGTGCTTGTGCTTCATCCATTCTGGGAGCCCCAAATGCCCATATATCTTTGAATAGGGGGACCTTTGCTCATTCCCCTGTCCATTTCCTTGCCTGCAGTGGGGTGGGAGGAAAGAAAAAGGGGAGTTCCTCTTACATATCCGATCAACTATCTCTGCCTTGGTCATGACATCCAGGTCAGTGTCTTGAAACAGGGCTCGCCCGACGTCCTCGTGCATGGCAAGGTTGCGCCGGAGGCTGCTGTTCTCAGCTTCCAGGTTGCTGACGTGCCGGCGCAAGGACAGGATGTCATCAGCCATTTTTTGCAAGGCTGAGCCGTAATTGTCTGTCTCCTGCCAACCCCGATGAAGAAGAGAAGGACAAGGTCAAAGAGAACGGCCCCTTTCCCCTCTTTCCTACTTGGAACGGGGCCTGCCTAAGCAAAGGAGCCACTCATTGCTCCATCACATATTCTGTTTTTCACTGCTGATCATGTTCAGAAGCAGAAACCAAAGCCTCGGAATTGATGACGGAGATCCAAAAGGCTGGGGGGTTTTGCATTTTGCATCTGAAGGATCCATTCTGGATCAGCCCACCTTCTTCTCGGCTTCTCCATTCTCAGAACAATCTTTTGTAAATCTATTTGGTACACAGAATTTGTAAAACTATGGCCCGAAGCCTATTGCTTAGTGTAGTAAATCACACCAGAGTAGGCCCATTGAATCAATGAGCCAACTCCTCTGTATTCCACTGATTCAAGTATGCCTATTCTAACAGTGACTTATTGGCACACATAACTTTAGCATGCTCTATGAAATACATCTGGAGTTTTCAGTCCTCTGCCTGCCATAGTATCTTTCATATTTTGTCTATCATCTCCAGGAATACAGGAGCCCTTTTGCCCTCTGAGTTAAGCTGCATTTTTCACTATAATTGGAAATAAATTGGATTCCCCGCCCCATTGGAACAGTATATCGCTACAAGCCATCCCTCCTGCAATGAGGGGTGGAGTTGGTCTTGAACGAGCAATTAAGAGCCATTAACTTTACAAAATAGCTGCTCCTCATTTGTTGGTGTGGATTTATCCAAATGCCTGCATTTTTCAACTCTTCTTGGAGAGGATGAGATAGGGACTACCATGATAAGCACTATGATGCTGATTATCCCACTATTCTCCCCTTACACAGTGGAAAACAAGTACAACTTCCAACTAAAATAAAAGCATAAATACACATATTAACATACATTGAAATGACTTAAAATACTTGAAGCATCTTTTAAAAGCACATCTCAGATCAGTAAAAAATATGCCCCTATCCCAACCCAAATTCAAAGCCTCTTTCTTGGCAACCTGTTCTTTTGCCAAAGGCCTGCTTGAAAAACTGTCGTTCTTAACCATATAATTAGTAGCCTGCTCAATGGCTGTCCCCTTGTGATGGGTATTCAGAACATACTTTGGAAAGTTGTTTTTTTTTTTAAACTATAACTCTCAGAATTCCTCAGTTTGCAGGATTCTGGAATTCAGAGGGCCCCCTTTCCCCCCCAAAAGCAGAGTTTTTTTAATGCTCTGATTCACAGCCCCTGATCCTAGTGGCCACCATAAGAACATGGAAAGCTATCTTCTCCTTAATCATCCCGTCAGTTTGGGCACCTGGCTGCGGAGCCAATGGCCAGGAGTCCGACACCCCACAGGGCCTCCTTGACTGGGACTGGATTTGAGGGTCCACAGGATTCCTTCCTGCTCTGTAGTTCAAAGACGATGAGGATTCCTCCACATAGTCCAATATCATCAATACCGGCTAGCAGAGGTTCTCCTGGACTACAAATGGGATTCTTTTCATAATGCTACCCTGGTAGAACCTCATGGCTTCCCGTCCCATTGCTAACCAGGCTTGATCCTACTCAGCTTCCAAAACTGGAGGAGACGAGATAGGGTAGCATGAGATAACATTCAAGCTATCCTGTTTGCTAGCCATGTCTAATCCCTCTTTTTCGGGCTATCAAAGTGGGGCCAGGCACAACCAGATCTCATGGGAGGACAAAGGGACACTGCTTAATCTGCTGTGAGAAGTACTTCCTTCCACCTTTCCGACGGGTTCTATCACTCGGCTGCACTTAAGACACCCCCAGTTTCTCCTCTTCTTTCTCCTCCCCCTTGATGTTGCCCAAAGAGCTTGAGTGATCATCTACTCCTTGGTTATGTCCCCTCCTCTAATGGCCTCCCCTCCCTTAAAAAAACAAAGCTAAGAAGTTCTGAAGGTTGCTATCTTTCCTCGGAGTGACTCCAGCCTCCTCCTCACTCCTGGTGCCTCCGATTATCTGTAACAACACTCTGGAGCAACCTCCTCAGGTCAGAGATCTATGCCTTGGATCTCAGCAATGCTGCAAACTTCTACACTCATACACACCCCTCTAACCTTGGTGGGACTGTACACACCAACCTCTTTCTTCATGTTCAACTGACTGTTTTGGCTCCATGACATCCTGAGACACAGCATGTGACTGACCTTGCTTTCTTGTTCCAAGTTGCACTTTACGCCTCCCCCAAGTGAACTCTTTGAGTAGAGTTCCCTTACAAAGATCCCCCCCCCGCATCACAATCCGAAGACCTCATCCTCCCTTAGCCTCCCCTAGCCCTCAACCAATGAAAAAAGATGTGCCATTTCATGAGAAGGAAATTAGCAGGAGACAAGTATAGATAGAAAGAATTCCCATTCAGCAAAAGCAGGGAAAAATACAAGCTTCCAGTTCATGTGTGTTGTCTTACTTTCACTGTATTTGTTGGTGTCAGAAAAGATGGTTAGTTACTGTGTTATCTCTTAAGCAAAGTTTTAAAAAGTCACATTTTGTGGACTGCAATCTCTCAGTCCAGCATGGCCACAGGGGTTCTGCAATAAGAAACAGCACGCCCAGCCATTGGCACCTGGGGTAGACTGAGGATGATATAGAGGTTTCATGCATCTGTGCCATGCATAGTGAAGATATAGCCATGGACTTTATTTACTACTTCATATGAAGATTATAAACATGTTGATAATGCTGCTGTTAGTATGAGCCTCATGGCACAGTGGTTACATTGCAATACTGCAGCCGAGACTCTGCTCACAACCTGAGTTCGATCTTGAAGGGCTCAGATAGCCGGCTCAAGGTTAACTCAGCCTTCCATCCTTCCGAGGTCGGTAAAATGAGTACCCAGCCTGCAATGTGCAGCCTGAATAATTAGATTTTAAACTGCCCAGAGAGTGCATGATGGGGTGGTATATAAGCAGCACACTTTGCTTTGCACTGTTTCTCATGCACCACCAACATCTGGGTTAGGTGATCTGGGTCAGGAACACACTATGGGAGACTGGAAGGATTAATCTTTTCCTCTCTATCCTGCTGGTCCTGGTCCTTTTAACCATGCTATCTGCATCACCCCAAATTCCATCCCATTGAAGTGAATGTTTCTTATTTTTAGCAGAAGATGGCAGAAATTGAACTTGGCATGTTTTGCATGTAAGTAAGTGCTGGGCAGCTGAACGATAGTCTCTGCTCCAAATATAAAAATGGAGAATTTTGCCTTCCTTAGAACTAGTTCTACTAGGAAGAGTGAGCCGTTATTTATTTTGTGATTCCTGTATCTTTTTGCCAGATGGAGGATTTCCCACTTCCTCTGCCAAAAATAACGTGGCTAATGTTTAACCCTACGCACCTTGACTTGGAGGGCTGAAATAATGCCTGTGCATTCTCTCCACCCTGCAAATGATTGACTGTGGTTTTCTAATGGGATCCAGGCAGGAGTATTTCCCCACTGTGACCACGGTGCTAGCCCGACCAGAAGTGAGGAGGCTGCCTCGGGCAGCAGATCTCACAGAGAGCTGAGCTCTGCCCCACCAACTCTTGACACTTTGGAAAGTCACCCTCCAAGCTGAGAGACTGCTCAGGGCTTAGTGAGAGGAAGAGGAAGAATATGACTGAGGGATGGAGTGGTCTGAAAATGAGGTCCTTTATTTGCCTCAGTGGGCGAATGTTGTGACCAGAGATGATCGGTGGCTGTTCACGGGTATAACTAGTCGAATGCTGAAAAGCTGAATGTCGCTTCCTGGAAGGGAGAGCTGGAAGGCAGGGCAGCTTTGGCAGCAGCAATGGTGTAGTCCCATTGTGCCCCACTGCTCATTAATAATCACCCCAATTAGCAAGGCCCATGTGCCCATCCCCAGAAGAAGGCAGACAGCCTTTGCAGCTGCAAAAAGCAGCTGAATGCAAAAAAGCTAAGGGTGCCACTTATATATTGCGGTTTACAGTTCAATTGTGCAAGCTACACATTGCCTACCTTGCAGCAAGCTTGGTACTCAGTTTACCAACCTCAAAATGATGGAAGGCTGAGTGAACCTTCAGCTGACTACCTGGGATTGAACTTGGGTCTGAGCAGAGTTTTCGCTACAGCACTGCAGTTTAACCACTTACCACAAGGCTCTTGAGAAAAAGTCATCCTACCATGGTGGCTGGCACACGGTTGCTGTTTTCTGGAGGCATAGCTTCCTCTTATGGGATGGAAGGAGGTCTGGTTGTTGTGGGGCACCACCACCAGGGAGAGTACTTTGCTGCCTGTATCAGGCAGTAAGAGAACTTGGGCCATCCCTGCCTGATCCTCCCGCATTAGAGTCCAATCCTAAGATGCTTCTTAAACAGCAGCTGGGTACTCTTAGCCCAACCCTGATCAGCCTGCCAGAAAAGCATCTTCATGGATCTCCTGTATAGAGAATTAGTGCAGGGAAATCACCCCAGAGGGAGATCACAGCTGCCATACAAGGAGATCTGCAAGTGGGACCTGAAGGCCTTAGGAATGGACCTCAATAGATGGGAAACACTGACATCTGAGCATTCAGCCTGGAGGCAGGCGGTGCATCATGGCCTCTCCCAATTTGAAGAGGCCCTTGTCCAGCAGGCCGAGGCAAAGAGGCAGTCACGAAAGCAGCAAAAACAGGGAGCTAGATGGGGTATAGATTGTATTTGTCTTCAGTGTGGAAGGGATTGTCACTCTCGAATTGGCCTCCTCTGCCACACTAGATGCTGTTCCAAGACCTCTAATTCAGAGCACGATACCATAGTCTCTCGAGACTGAAGGATGCCTAATCTAAATCTAAGGCCAGGGTGGACCGAAGTACCTCCTCAGTTGAATTAGGCAATGGAAGGGATTATTTTAAAAAGTGGCCACAGTTGCTCTGGAGGCAGTGTTCACAAAAGGAACTTTTTCAGGCTCTAAGCATCTGCAAAGATCAGAAAGCCTAGTTAGAGTTTCACTGGGGGAGCGGTCCTGAGAGGAGATATGGCCGTGACAGAGCTGTCTCAGAGCCAACTGGCCGACCTCCTCGGCTCTCCTGGCCTCGCTAGGCCTGGCCTTCAGCAGGATGTCAAGAGATAAGTACGGCCTGTTTGTTTGCAGACCAAGGAGACAGATTGCCTGGAATCCCTAGAGTGGGGAGTGCTTTGTTTTCTTGTTCTTTGGAATGACAGGGAAACCCAGAAGAGACGGGCTGCCCAGCGCCATCATCACTCCAGCAGACATGGCGCTTGGCGTCAGAGAGAGGAGAGTCTGCGTGATCAAGGGAGACAAAAGGGATGCACACTCCAGGGCAAGCGGGACACGTGTCCTGAGCCCTGAATACAGGAGGTCCACAAAAAAGGAAGGCATCCACCAACTATAATTCTTCCCCCCAAAAAAGGACAAAAAGGGGATTGTGATCTGCAAAACACTGCATATCCCACTTTACATGTACAGATGCAAACTTAGAAAGGGTTTTAATAATTCAGAATTTGACTTAGCCAGGTAGAGAAGACAATAACCAAACAACCTAGTGTGACTGTTAAGTCTACTGTCCAGGGCCTCAGTTTGAATAGGCACCAACAACTATCCTTCTGGCTCTTAGAATGCATAGATATGGACAGGACAGCCCTTCCTATGCAGGACACTTTCAGAAAGAAAAAATTGTCCTTTAACTATCCTTGCTGACAAGGGGGCTGCTGGGAAACGCAGTCTAACAACATTTAAAGGGTCACAGTTCACATGCTCCTGCTGTTTGGTGGATCAGACAATCCCTTACAGCAGGAGGGGCCATTTATCGTAGGCCCAGGGACCAATTTTACCTGCCTGGTGACACATATTATGCCCTTGTGATGAAACCAGATGTGATCAAGAATCCATGTCTGGTTCGAACCACCGTCTTCTTTTCTATCTCTCCTGTTCTGCAAATGAACCACATTTCCAGGAGGTTCTTGGAACCACCACAACCACCACCTCCTTCTTCACTTAAAGAATGCATTTGGTGACCTTGGAGTTTCCGGGGTTCCCAGAAGTTTCCAAAAGAGTGAGGCCATAGGTGGCCTGCGTCCCACAAATTACCCAACCTGCCTTACAGTAAACATGGGCCCTGCAAAGCCTATTCTTGGGGGACTGCTGAGTAATGAAGCTCCAACAGACACAAAATGGGCATGACAGGGGTATCCCAATCCCCTGGTCCATGCATGCAATGTCACTGGACAGATGGTACTCATTAGAGGTATATGCAGGTTTGTGTTTTTGGACTATGACTCTCGCGGCTGCCTGGAGAATTCTGGGAGATGCAGTCCAATCCTGCAAATGTGCACGTCTCTGGTGAACACAACTGCTAATGCCCAAGCTGAATAGTCTGGGTGACAGAGCAGGCAGCTCCAGTCCCTGCTTTACTCTTAAGTCTTTCTAGGGCAAACTCGCACTTTCTTCTTCCTGTCTCATCCTCTTTCCTTTTGTCTCTTAGATTCCAGGCTTGTCGAGGCAGGCACCGCACATCAGCAGCACATGCATGAATTGGCCTTACGAGGATCTTGATTTTTTTCAAACCCAAGAACATCCACTCCAGTTGACAGCCATTCCGACAATTGTGTGAAGACCTTGCAAAGCAAGATCTGCAGACGACCCAGCCCTTCCCGCTCAGCTCTGTGCGATGGCATTTTCACGGATCATCTCCGTTGTGCACAAACCAGACAGCCATCTGTCAGATGTGCTTTCAATGGGATTCCTGCATGGAGCAGGGGCTTGGACTTGAGGGCTTTACAGCCCCCTCCCAGCCCCATTATCCTATGATTCTACAAATCTATGAAAAAAATGCTATTTGTATTCCAGGAAATATCCTCAAACTGTTTTTCTGCAGATTTAGTTCTTTGCTGAAGAGGGCAGCATTTGGCTTCTGGCAGAAAAGCCTTCAAAACACACAAGCCGACATCCCCACCGTCCCCACCTCCACCAACATCCGCTTGCAATTATGTTGTTTTCTCCTCTATTTTTCGAGGGTCCGGGTAGTTTTTTACCCGGCATGAGCCAAGCCTCTGTTGCAATCCATTGTGCAGTTCTTCAAGCTGAAAGGAAAGCTATTATTTCCTTTCAAACCATTTTGTTTTTCTCCCCATTATGAAAAGCATTCTGTGGGTTGTTTCAGGGAGCGGTTAAACTACTGAAATAAATCCAGTGATGGATGGGGTGTGTGTGTGTCTTGAATTCAGTTTAAAGTCACATCGTTTTGGGGTCAGTGTATTCATAATCTTGGGAAAACGTTTAATCCATCTTTTAACTGTGTTGTATATTGGTTGAGGGGGCTTCACAGGCTTTAAAAATCATTGCATTTTAGGCTTTGTCCTGCATCCGCTTCCACTTCTGTTGGCTGTCTCTCACAACCATTAGCCACTGGTGCTGGGGTATCATTTAAAATGTATTTTAAAAAAATTATTTCAATCTGAAACAGCACTGGAACAGAACAACATGAAAAAAAAATTAAAAGAGCTTTCCCTGTGGCCCAACAAATGCACACACAAACGCGTGTGCACACACGCACACACAGGGAGAATGGAGAGGGATTGGGAGACACTAAGCTGGAGCTGAAAGGTTTGTGAAGAAGGGACATACACACACGCATACACACACACACGCACAGGGTAGAGGAGGAGAAAGAGCATGGAAGGCACAGCAGTGAGTGGTCAACCCCGTAGCCACAATTTATACCGATAGAGTATATCCCCAAAAGATTCAAAATAAATCAATTTCACAAGGGATTTAAAATAAACGACTCTCTTGCGGCTGAATAAAATAGACTGCTTTACAATAAAAAACACACCGACTTTGTGTGTCGTGTAATCATCTTTTTAAAACAATTTAAAACATGCTAAACAGATTTAAAATGCAGGTGTCTCTCCTCCCCCCCCCCCGTATGACCGCAACCTTAAAGCCCATCAGATTTCTTGCTTAACTGTTGCCCAGAAACAATGGCAGTTTGTGGACTCAGCATCACAGGGACTCGTCCCAAACCTTTCTATCCAAAAAAACAAAATGGCAACTTCCAAAAATCTGCTGCTGCTCTGGAGAAAGGAAAATGAAGAATGCTTAGTCGTCTTACCAGATCCTGGACTTCTTCAATAATGGGCCTGCCAAATGTAGAGCATAAGTATGTTAGTATGGCAGGAAATTTCCTTCATTGCCCCCTCTCAGTTCTTTGGGGAAGATATTAACCATGATAATGAAGAACAAGCTTTTTCTAATTGCACAACAGAATCTGGAATGTTTGCTTTAAAAAAAAAAGCAATCTGCTTATGAACTCGAATTAGTTGACTTTAAAAAAAGTAACCCTTGTGCATATTAGCTCAAATTAAGCCTTCATTCTCCCTAGCAGCTAAAAGGACTAAACTGAGGTTATTATACTTTGCACAAATCATAAGAAGACAAGAGCCCCAGTCAAAGACAGTAATGCTGGGAAAAAGTGGGAGGCAGTAGGAAAAGAGGAAGATGTAACATGGGGTGGGTTGACTGAATAAAGGAAGCCACGGCTTTTAGCTTGCAAAAACTAGGAGCCTTGTTAATGACTCAGCCTTTTGGAGGTCATTAATGCATACAGTTGCCCTAAGTCAGAAATGACATAACATACTAGGGTTGCTTGTTATGCATTGCCTGAGAAGTAACACATTGTTAACACATTGTTTTAAAATTACTTTTTAGTAATTTTTAAACCCTTCAAAGTACTGTAGAGAAATAGCAAAAATGCTCTCCTAAACAACATTTGGAAAGTAATGAGCAAACGGTAGTGCAACGTATTATGGTAGCATCACAATTAACTCTCTTCCCGCATCGCAGACGGCCCCACTGTACCTGGCATGCTGTCTCTCTGGCAGGATCTCGGCCACAGCTTCATGAGGTGGCAATTTATCATTCGGTAGCTGAAAGACAGAAAGTAGGTAGTCACCAAAATAACCCGGCAACTGGAGAGAAGTCCTTGTGGTCCACGCTGCTGTTGTTCCTAATCTCCAAGCAGGTCTGGCTATGAAATTAGGCAGAGTGATGAGGCAACCACCTCTGGAAAGCTGGGAAGCAGCTGTGGCCTCCATCCGACTAAGGCCTTCTGAACTGGCTGCTTACAGAGCAAAAGTTTGCAAGAAACTTTGGCCAAAAGGGAGAGGAAAGGCCAGGGGCTCAGAAGACTGCTGCTCTCATGTTCTGTTTGAGCCTTTATACAACAAATTAGTATTACAGAGATATCCTTGCTCTACAATACAGGACAAAAAACAAGTTAAAGCGTGCTTTTTGTTGCTCCTGGACTCCTGTGGGCTAGGGATCGTGGGGGTGGGAAGGCACCTCACACCGTAACACCAGTCCTTGATGAGTATGATTGCAGGGTTGAAACACCCAACCTTTTTAGCAGCAGGAACCCCGAGATCCTCTACCACTATGCCCTCGAATCTTAAGGGAAAGTTCACTCTGAGTCTGCAGCCGACAACACAGTATCTGGATCCAAAATGGATTCCCCCAACAACAATATGCTTGTGTTTAAATATTGTATGCCTGCTTTGATGGGAAGTATTTGGGGCAGACAGACTCTGTCTTTCTTGGTCTGTCTGTCTGCATATTTGGACTCTCGTGAGCTCGCCTATGAAAATAACCATGACGAGTGTCGGACTTCTAGATTTCCCACAATGCCCCTGTTGTTACAAGAATTTGGATATGCATGGTAGAAGTGGTAGATGGGGGGAAAATATCCAAATTGCATCCCAGGGTTAGTGGCTGCCAAGTTTGTGAATGTGTGAACCATTGTGTATTTTAACAGAACATACGGCAATAACTGAAGACGTAGCGGAGGGCAAGAAAAGCCTTACTCTTCAGCGGGGCAATCCTGTTTAGCCATAAGTAAAATACCATTGAACTGAATGGGACTGTGAAGAAGAACCGATTAAAGCAGCCATTTCTGGAAGTGAGCCGTCCCCTCCATCGTCTCCATGCGTTACTTAAATTACCTCAGGGAGTGCAAGAGATATGTCTTGAAGATGATCAGGTTAGGGAGAAGACGAGAGGAGAACAGTCTATAGTAGAAAGTTTTCTGATGATGATAGAGTGGATGGAAAAGGTGGGAAGACAGAAGTGTTGGGGTTCAGAGGAGTGGATAGACCCAAGGGAGGAGGAAGGCGAAATGACGAGAGAAAGACAAACGACAAGGGAGAGGATCCTTATGGATTCTCTTTCCCAAAGAGAGAGGAAAGAGGCAGTAATAGAGGGGGCAGACCCACACATGGACGCAGAGTAACAGGTGTTGAAGTACAGTTGGGGGAACTGGACCCACTGGAATGGACAGTCTAGGTTCACCCGAGGGGGAAGGGTCCCTGGAGGAAGGTGGCGCGGCCGGAGCCTATTCCCTCCTGAGAACGAGAGTGGGCATGCCACCCATGCTGCAGGACCCTGGGCACAGCAAGGAGCCCTCCGCTGCGGAAGCTGAACGATCAGGAGGAATTCGGGATGTCACCACATTAAGACAGAGAACAAACCAGAGGGAACCCTCTACAGTTACGGACTCCTTCGCCCATGTTGAACAGTTTTGTTGGACCCACAGAAGATATTGTGCATCCTTGCCCTCATAACTAGAGTAAAAGTTCTGTTAACAGTGTTATGTTTCCTGTGGTTAATGGCGTCAAAGAAGAGGAAGACTTAGATTAGAACAAGAACCCAATCACGGGGACTGGCTCCCCCTATAAAACTCTATGGGATAGCAGGTTAAATGGCGGCCTTGGCCTCAGCATAAGGTACAAGGGCTCCCCATCTTGCAGTCCCATCTACTCACTGTGGAAGAGAATGGTCGGTAATACAATGTCATCTGCAACTTCTTAGTTTCTGAGATCTGCTGCACTCAAGAGGGGGGGGCAGTTCTGCAGGACTGAGAGACCAGAAGCGGTAACTTCAATCTTCCCGCAGGGATCAGATTAACGAGCTTCTCTCTGGTTGCCAGGAGCCTGCGATTTCCTAACAGCAACATTCAAAGGTCTGTGCAAATGCCAGAACCACAAAGCAAACAGGTGTCTCTCTGTCTCACCTGTGAAGAAGGGTCTGGAGGACTTTGGGTGCTCCCGCACACCTGTCCACCCTCCATCCCTGGCGGAAAGAAAGCTGCTAATGGAAAGGAAGTGAACCCACAGGGGTAACAGGCAGGGGAGGAGGAAACCAAGAGCCCCTGGCAGGGAGCACAGCCTGGTTCCTTGCACCTGATTTCAAGTGCTGCCTGGCTGCTCCCCAGGTGCATTGACAGCGCACATCTTGGGAGCTGCTGTTGCTACAACTCATCTCAGCAACCAGGTGGCCAGGGCTCCTTTGCCAAGGACTTTGGAAAATGGATTCAAGTGCTGCCTGGCTGCTCCCCAGGTGCATTGACAGCGCACATCTTGGGAGCTGCTGTTGCTACAACTCACCTCATCTTAGCAACCAGGTGGCCAGGGCTCCTTTGCCGAGGACTGTGGAAAATGGTTGGACAAAAAGGGTCTCTGAATGTTGGCTGACTACTGCTTGATAAAGACACCGAATCTCTTCTAAGAAGTAAATAGCAGCTGTGCTGTCACCTGAATACAGAGCATTTATGTCAGGCAGGAATGCGATCCAATGGTTGGACAAAAAGGGTCTCTGAATGTTGGCTGACTACTGCTTGATAAAGACACTGAATCTCTTCTAAGAAGTAAATAGCAGCTTCCAGAGTGCTGTCACATGAATACAGAGCATTCATGTAGGGCAGGAATGGGATCGTGGGATCCTAGGAACAGTTGGCCAGTCTGTCTTCAATGCGCCTAGGAAGCTACACCAAAAATAAGTGCTGGCCTGCCCAATGTGGTTGGATTACAACTTTCAAATGACCAACAACATCCGAAACGTTCCTGGATGGGGAAGGTAGGAATCAAGCACTTTGATGATTCCTGCTTTCCCCCTCCACTTTCTTGGGAGGAAAATGCTTTCCACCTCCACTTTCTATGCAAAAAGTGGAGGGGGAAAGCAGGAATCAAAGTGCCTTGATGATTCCTGCTTTCCCCCTCCACTTTCTTGCAAAAAAAGTCCTTTCCCCCTCCACTTTTTGCAAAGAAAGTGGAGGGAGAGAGCACTTTCCTCCCAAGGAAGTGGATGGGGAAGGTAGGAATCAAGCACTTTGATGATTCCTGCTTTCCCCCTCCACTTTCTTGGGAGGAAAATGCTTTCCACCTCCACTTTCTATGCAAAAAGTGGAGGGGGAAAGCAGGAATCAAAGTGCCTTGATGATTCCTGCTTTCCCCCTCCACTTTTTGCAAAGAAAGTGGAGGGAGAGAGCACTTTCCTCCCAAGGAAGTGGAGGGGGAAGGTAGGAATCAAACCACTTTGATGATACCTGCTTTCCCCTCCACTTTCTTTGCAAGTACGTGGAGGGGAAAAGAGGGAAAGCAGGAATGAAAGTGCTTTGATCCCTCCCCCCTACTTCCATGTATAAGATCACCCTCAATTTTTAATCCAAATATTTTAGACAAAACTATTATCTTATACATGGAAAAATACAGTATATTGACTGGCAGTGGGTCTCTGGAGCTTCCAACATGCCGATGACTGATTTCATGGTAGTGATGGTGGAAAGGGATGAGTTTTTTAAAAAAAAAATTGTTGTTGGACTACAAATACCACAATTCTCCATTTCGTGAGTTCTACCTACATTTCAAGCACCTTCCCAACATCACAGTCTGATGTGCTTGGGAGAAAGGCCTCAATGAGAAGGCTTTGAGGCCTAGCTAGGCCAAGCTCTGCCCAGGCTTCCTGTTCCTGCCCCTTTGCTAGCTGGAAGCTTTTCTTCGGGGAAGGAAGCCTGGCCTAGCTAAGCCACAAGGTCTTCTATTTGGTGCACAATGCTAAGGGGATTGAAAGGAATCTGAAAGATAGGGAGAACTCACAGAGTGGAAAATTGCGGAAAACTGTAGTCTAGAAAATCGAAAAGTCCCATCCCTAGCCATATTAGATTTTAAAATGTTAGAGGATTTATCGAAGGTGCTGAATCTATTTGTGGCCCGGATAGCTTTTGTGAACTTGAGGCTAAGAGCCTCGTGGCGCAGTGGTTAAACTGCTGGACTGCAGCCAAAACTGTGTTCACGACCTGGAGTTCAATCCCACGTAGCCAGCTCAAGGTTGACTCAGCCTTCTATCCTTCCGAGGTCGGAAAAATGAGGACCTAGCTCGCTGTAGCCTGAATAATTAACTTACAAACCACCCAGAGAGTGCTTGAAGCACTATGGGGCAGTATATAAGCAGCACGCTTTGCTTTGCTTTAAAACCTGCGGTGGATTCGCTAACCAGTGCACAGATGCCTTCCCAAACTGGAAATGCTGGGGATTCAACCTGGGGAATTTCTTTCACAAACTGTATTCTCATGAGGCTACATAAGGACAAAAATAAACAGCCTGTGACTAGAGGAGATAAATGATTTATTAATAACGGTGTCCGAGTGTCGTAGTAGGAGCGTCCCTCATCTCAAGGTATATGCAAAGTAGCCTGTTTTTTTGGGTTTTTTTTGTGATGGTCGTCAGGACTTATGAACCTTCTGAAGTGTGGTTTTGCAAACCTGGAAAAATACATCAGTCGCCTCTCTCCAACACTAGGTCTTGGTTTGGTGGATGCTTACTAACAATTATATGACTACTGCTATCCTTACCATTGTCTTTAAATCCATGAGGAATATGAATTCATGCAAAGAGTGTCATACAATCCATACTCAAAGCTTGGAAAAGTTACTCTTTTGGACTACAATTCCCAGAATCGTGCAGCCAGTGTGGTTTTTTTTGCACTCCAAAAACGTAACTTTTCTGATCTCCATCTCTTTGAATGTAGATTGCTGCCAAGCAGCAGCACAGAGGCAGGAGAAAGTAGGTGATTTCCACAATAGGCAACCTTTAGTCCC